TTCTGCCAGATCCCCGGTCTGAATAACCACATTTTGTCTGTCAGTGATTCTTTTAAGCAAAAACGGTGTTCCGTTTTCTTAAAAAGGCTAGTGCAGCTCCCAGCGCAGACCTATCACATAGTGCCTTTCATCAGCCACTGTGCCTCAGCATCCAAACTGCTTAATGTGTACTTCCCGACCTGTCGCACAGAACATTAAAGCACATATACTCAAGGGTTAAGAGTAATACAATTAATAATAAAATTAATAATGTTTACCACCTCATCGAGAACATTCTTTTTTGAAAAAAAATGTTTATTTTTGATAGATAAAGACAGAGCACAGGTCAGGGAGGGACAGAGAGAGAGAGAGAGGGAGACACAGAATCAGAAGCAGGCCCCAGTCTCTGAGCTGTCAGCACAGAGCCTGACACGGGGCTCAAACCCACGGACCTGAGATCGTGACCTGAGCCAATGTTGGATGATGAACCGACTGAGCCAGCCAGGTACCCTGCATTTCTTTATTTTCTAAATGAAACTAACCTTGGCTTGAGGAAGTCTGCTGTGCTTTCTTCTGGGATTCCTTCCTCCTCTCTAGGGTCAGGCACAGACAAAAGACGAGGGCCTTGGTTTCTTGGGGTTGATGCTGACCAGCTCCTTGCCCAGGCCTTCTGGGTCCCTGCAGATGCCGGTGTCTCCGAAGGCGGCTCCACCACCCAGAGCCCTGCTCCGCGGTGGGATCCTCCACAGAGCCTCCGGGCTCTGGAACGTGGTGGCCTGCCTGTCCTCACAGACCCTCGTGCCAAGATTCTGCCTCCTCAAGGTGCATTGGCTCAGGTCCCTTCACCCTGCAGCCTGCAACCCTCCTTCTCTTTAGGAAGATCCTACATTTCTCCGCTGGATCAGGCCTCCCCCTTGTCAATCCCTGAAGTCCCAAGCCTTCAAAATTCTCTTCTCTAGCATTCTGGTATAATTCACCGAATAGACCTAATAAGCCAAAGGTCCATGGCCCCCAGACTCTGCATGAGTTTGACTGCAAATGGTTTTTTTTTTTTTTTTAATTTGGATTAATTGCCCATATTTAAAAATCGAGATCTTCACAGACAACTGTGATAGTCTTCTCTAGAAGCATTAGAGGGTCTGGAAACCTTAGGCCTGCATTGTTACATGGTGGCAGTGGCTAAAGGTGAGAAAAATGTGTCCTCTGTATTGCCCGAGACCTACTGTTCCCTGTCACTTCACAGCAGCCTTCTCTGCTCATTCACTTACTCGCCTGACGTCATTGAAGCCTTGAGCTTGTCATCTTTGTCCAGCCCTTTGAAGAACACAGGCTTTTTCGAGGTTTATCTTCTCCCACCTGGCAAACCACACACAAATTAGTTTTTTAATCGCCCTGTTATGGCCAAGAAGACAGAGATAAGCCAGCCCGACAACTTTTTACAAAAGGATCGCTATGTTGCCTTAAGCCCGGTTTAAAACTGGGGGCTTCTCAGGGTGCCTGGATGGCTCAGTCTGTTGAGTGTCTGACTCTTGGTTTCTGCTCAGGTCATGATCTCACGGTTGGTGAGCTCGAGCCCTGCACTGGGCTCTGCGCTGACGGCGAGGACCCTGCTTGGGATTCTTTCACACCCTTTCTCTCTGCTCCTCCCCCACTCGAGCTGTCTCTGTCTCTCTCAAAATAAATAAACTTAAAAAAAAATAAGTGGGGCTTCTCCCCAGCCATGCTGCCGGTGTTCCCCACGGGCATGTGTTGGTGTAGACGCCACTCGCTCCTGGACCCCGTGAAGACCAAGAAGGCACCTGGACCTCCGCAGCCACCATTTCCACCTCCCCTGAATGAAGTAGATGAAATGAGGGTGACATCAACCCACGTCACAGGGGCTGCTGGGCAGAAGCATTTGCACAAGGAAACTGAAGTCCAACAAGGCCTAAAACAGCATCAGTCAGCAGCTTCTCTCGCCTTCATTTCATCCTACTGACCTCTTGCAATGACCCTGGGAGAGAGAAGACTGAATAAGAGGGACCCGTGGGAACTTTGATGCTGACTTTTAAATTTTTTTTTTTTCAACGTTTATTTATTTTTGGGACAGAGAGAGACAGAGCATGAACGGGGGAGGGGCAGAGAGAGAGGGAGACACAGAATCGGAAACAGGCTCCAGGCTCTGAGCCATCAGCCCAGAGCCCGACGTGGGGCTCAGAACTCACGGACCGCGAGATCGTGACCTGGCTGAAGTCAGACGCTTAACTGACTGCGCCACCCAGACGCCCCGATGCTGACTTTTAAAACAGTGCATGTTTAGGTGTTTCAGGCTGGTGAGCCGTCAGGTGACAGGGGAAGGGGACGGGAGCGTACAGGGCATGCAGGTTGGATTTTTCATTTCCTGGTTCCTTCTGAAGAAATATATTGACGGAGGGTTGGTGGTGGGGGGCACCTGGGTGGCTCAGTCGGTTAAGCGTCCGACTCTTAATTTGGGTTCAGGTCAAGATCTCACCGTTCGTGAGACTGAACCCCGTGTTGGGCTCTACTCCGATAGCACAGAGCCTGCTTGGGATTTTCTGTCTCTCTCTCTCTCTCTCTCTCTCTCTCTCTCTCTGCTTCTCCCCTGCCTATGTGCATTCTTTCTCTTTCTCTCTCCCTCTCAAAATAAATACATAAACTTAAATTAAAAAAAAAAAGAAACATATTGATAACCAGGGACAGAACTATCCAAGTCGTGCATAGTGTTGACACTTCAATATCGCAAACCAAATGGGAATAAAATCTTTGAAACCCAAACAACAAGGTGAAGCTTCTCCAACTGAAGTTTGTAGAGGACTTGGAGTATTGCCTACTAAAGGGCTCTTGGGACCCCTTCACACAATCCCTGGGGTCCTACGGAGCACTGTTGAACAGCTACAGATCTAACTTATGCAAAGCTCATAAGAGGAAACATGGGAAGTTCTTGACGGAGTCCAGACAAACATGAGGGTGTTAGGTAGTTGACAATGTGCTGTTGAGGAAGACCATAGCTTGATGAATGTAGGACATGGGTTGGAAATAATCGCTGACTTACCAGCTAGGTGTCCAGGGTAGATCACCCCATCCTTGGCTGAGCATGTCATATTTTGAGCCTCCTCAACACCAGCCGTCATTCACAGTGTAAGTGGTTCTGATTATTCAGATGAGACTGGGGGAGCCATTTTGGCCAACTCCTCTCTGTTTGTGTACTATGTTCATCGTCATGCGAAATCACAGGGCTTTTGTGGCCACTGGCTCCTGCCACAGGCTGCTCCTGGGTCAGGGCCAGAGATGAAGCCTGAGAGAGGCTAGGAGATGAGGCAGTTTAGGGAAACTGGAGGCGGGAGGATGCGGGGAGTAGTTCAGAGTCAGCTTCACTGTTGCTTTTCTCTCTTCTTTTGTATAAAAAGATCAATCTCATGTCTAATTCATTTGAAAATTCCCCACTTCTCTGTGTGTGTTTTTGGTAAAAATAGAAGTCTCTGAGGATTGCGGGCTCCTGCTGAATTTTATGAGCAACTTTCAAAGCTTGCTAACCAGGTTCTTCTGATCTTTCCTTGAGTGAATTAAGCACCAGTGGGAGGCTTGCTTTCCGGGTGACTGGTTTGAGTAAAAGGCTTCCAGGGTTGGGGGTAGAAGACTTTTAAGGTCATTTGATCAATTTGCAGACCCTGGAAAACACAACAGAGTACACAGGTTGGCAGGAAGTTGGCCCCGTCACCCCTGTGCCCACCCTTCCCTGCCCCTCCCTCCCTCTCTCCTCCCTTCTCCTTTCTCCCTCTGTCTCCTCTTTCCCTCCTCCCTCCCACTTTCTTCCCCCTTCCCACCTTCATCCTTCTTCCTCTCCTTCTTTTCTTCCCTTCCTCTTTCCTTCCTCACTGTCCCTTGTTGGGACAGTGTCCCAACCATCACTCTCTGTGCAGCAGACTCCCAGCTCACCTCCCAGCTTGCAGCCTTGCCCTTGTCCAAGCCAGGGAGTGCTTTCCAAAGGCCAAATGTGATCGTATTTCCTCCCAGCTTTAAACCTTTAGGGCTTCTCTGGTTCAAAAATTTCTTCAGTGTTAGAAGTCAGGATACACGTTACCTTTGAGGAGGAAAGTGGGATTGGTGGTGGAGAAGGCAGGTTTCTGGAGGGTTGGCAATGCTTGATTTCTTACCTTGTGTGGTCGTTACACGATAGTCCTATTGTGATAATTTATTGAGCTCTGCCATGACAATGTGTGAACTTTTCCTTACACATGTTATACTACCATACATTTTTTTAAAAACTGGTTCAGTGTTTAATATCGCCCTCCTGTGCTTTCCAAGGTGGGGGTGAAGAATGGCTTTGAATACCAGGGAAGGGGACTATGGGGATTGCTGCAGGGAAGGGGGAGTCACTGAATCTTGTGACAGCTTTGAAGCTGGAATATCCAAATAATGAGCTAATTTCAGTGGCTGCTGGTGTGACAGATTTGTAGACTGTCTGATGAATGGTGCTATGGAACTGCAGTGTTCTGAGATGAGGATGATTCAAAGAAGCCTCTAGAATCCTTTACAAAAGGTTATGGTTTGGGAGAGGAGAGCAGGGAGAATTAGTCCTGGCCCAGTTCCCATCCAAGAAAGGATTTGGTTCGGATGAAGGTTGATGAGGCACCGGCTTGGTGTTGCTCTTAGCAGGGCCGTGAGGTTTCTCCATAGGAAAGCTTTCCTGAAGTGATCAGGGCTCCAACGGGATAGAAAACCACAGGGCCTGGGAGGGATGCGAGGTCTTCCTCAGAGGCAGGCTGTAAAACTGTTCCTGAGAGGTGACCCTAACGGGTGGGCCAAGAAAGGGTTCCCGGAGGAAGCCTAAGGGTGCTGAGACCCCCCCTGATGGTCCCATGGAGTTGAGGGAATAGGGGCAGCTATAGGTCTCAGAGTAATGGAAGAATGAATGTGTGGTGAGTGATGGGGAACAGGCAGAGAGGCTCCCTTGCCTCTCATCCGGGTCCCCAACTTGCTGAGCTTTTGCAGTCATTGGACTTTTTGTTCACTGCATTAAAAACAACAACAACAACAACACTCTTCATAAACGGTGTCTGTCTCCACTTAGCACTTTGCACACGCCATTGATGTTTACCTTCTCACGCCTTGGCCTCCCTGTTGGCCATGGCCATGATGGCAGCCCTGGCCGTTTATAATATCGTAGTCATCTCCAGCACCACATCTGACACCTTGCAGGTGCTTGGTGAGCATTTGTAGAGCAGTGTGCAGATCTTCAGAGGGAGAGCTTGCTTCCATTCTGCAACCTCCCTGAGGAGTGGGACTTACGATCTCCCAGAAAACTGAGGCTCAGAGAAGATCATTCAGAGCATATGGCTTATAAGTGGTGGGACTGTGATTCACACTCTGTATTAGGAAAGCCCTTGCCCTGAATCTCTATGCAGCGCTCACCCCATCGACTCCACCCTAGTGTTCCCCATCAGCAATCCTACAGGTTGCTAGGACTCCTACGAATACCCTGTGAATACCCTAAGTTATTCAGGATGACTTAGCCCTCCCGTCAATGAATGGATCCCAAATATCCCAAAGATCAGGTTTCCTAGCCAAATGGACAAGTCCTCCTGAGAGCTGGCCCCTGGCTTCGCCTCTGGTTCCATCTCCAGCCACATGGTGTCCTGCATTAATCATACCGAAATACCCATAGTTGTGTGCCTATGTCATCCCCCTTTGATGGGTTTCTCTTTCTGGAATAATACTTCGCCAGCTCTACTGGGCTGGGTAAATATAAATATATTATAAATTATAAATATAATTATAATTATAACTAAGATGCTCTTGACTACAGACAGCACAAAACCCACCCCTAAATGGTATAAGCAATGAGAGGACTTAGCATCTCACGTGGTAAGAGATCCTGTGGGAGGGGAGGCTGCTGGTGCAGAGTGTCAGGTCCCTGTCCCTCTCTCCGCTCTGCCCCTCTTTGCATTGACTTCAGCCTCAGGCTGGTGACAAGATGGCTGGGGTGGTTCCAGGGCTCACATCCAGACACATCAACATCGTGCACAAGGAAACATGGATGGCTTCTTCCTGTGTCTGCCTTCCCGGGCACCCCCGCACATCCCCTGCATGGCTCCTGGCCAGGCCTGATCGCAGACCTTCCCTGAGTCAAGGAGAACAGCATTAAAGCCCATCAGGATATACCCCTGGAGCTGGGGATTGAGTGGATCATGCTGGGGAGAGGAGGGCACCCAAAAGAGTGGACTCTGTCTGCAAGGAAGGTCTCAGGATTGAAGTGGCTCTAAAAGGTATCCAGCCTAACCTTTCTAGGGAAGCCTCCTCCAGCTGGCATTTTAGCCTCCTCACACGGCCAGTTCTTTCTTCACCAGCCCCTCCCCCACTGCCAATGTCCTTGGCCTGGCCCTTTGCTCTTTGGCACAGTGCCCCTCTTTTGTGGCCCCACCTGGCCACATCCTGTTGTGCTTCCCACATGCCTTGTTAGCTCGCTGGACTCTATGTGCCGCCTACCCACAACCCTGTGCCTTCTTCCTGGTCAGTGCACGCTTCTCATGGAGGGGGCTCAGCCAGATTAACCCTGCCCACCCGTGTCGCTGTCCTCCCACAACCCTCTAGACTTGGGGATCCTCTCCATGGATTTACCTGCTGATGATTTGCTTGAAAACCTTCTCAGTTTCAAAGTCATTTCTCATGCATTTCACAGGCATGTTTTTTGTTCCTTGATAAGAATGATGTCTTCTAATTCTTTGGCAATACCGGAAACAATGAACCTCATGCATGCACACACACACACACACACACACACACGCCCTCTTCCTACTTGAAAGCCACACTGGGAAGGGAGGCAGCCAATCAGTGCCGCTAACTAAGTAGCCAGCGTGCCCTCAGCCTGGCGTCTCGCCCTTGCCCTCGCCCCTCTGTTTGCAGAGATGGCAGCTGCCTCTGTATGTCTGGAAGGTTGCAAAAGGCGCAGCTCCAGCAGCTAGGGCCAGAAAGCCCTAGGACCAATTTGCTTTTTTGGGCTAGAGTGTTAGTCTCAGGGAATAACTGAAGCTCTATGGTGAACAAGCTGCCTGAGCTAGGGGGTGATCGCGGGAAACCGGAACCCGTGGAGCACCTGCGATGTGCTCTGTACCTGTTCTTCTTTCAGCCAGCGCTGCTTCTCTGCCAGTCTGTCTCTGCGTCCATCTGTCTGGAGGGTTCCACATACTCTGCTAAGCTCAAATAACATCCGGTGGTCAAGTCCCCAGGAAAAGTTTCTTCTCTTTTTTTTCTGTTGTTGTTATACTTTGTTGCAAACCCTTTTGCTTGGCCTCAGCTCAGCCCATAAGAGAGTGCATTGCCCACCTGCTTGCCTCTCTACTGGGGGATGAACTCCTGAAGGCCAGGAATCATAATTTTTCTAGATCTTCGGGTCCTCTGAGGACAGATCCATGCCTGCCAGGTAATAATAAATAAATTCTTGTGGAATTAAATTAAATTAATTGTTGCTGAGGGCAATAGAAATCAAAATTCAGAAGGAGTGAATGAACCCAGAACTTAAATACAGAGACTCTTAAATATGTATTTCTCCCCTTTATTATGGTGCATGGAAAGAGAATGGAGAAAAAGGGAAGGAAATAGAAGAAGTGAAGATTGACCAGGGCTCTCCCTCTCTCGATGAGCTTCTTTTATTTTTTAAAAAATGTTTATCTATTTATTTTGAGAGAAAGTGTATGTGCGTGGTGAAGGGGCAGAAAGAGAAGGAGAAAATCCCAAGCAGGCTCTGTGCTGTCAGCATGGAGCCCGGTGTGGGGTTCCATCCATCATATGAACCGCAAGATCATGACCTGACCCACATCAAGACTCGAGGCTTAACCGACTGAGCCACGCAGGCGCCCCTCCCTCTCTAAATGAGCTTCTTAAGAGCAAGAACTATTCTATATCCTGTGGCCCTTCTCAGTGCCTAGAATATGGGAAATGATCCATAAATACTTGTTGAGTAAATACATGGGATATGGGTCAGGTTGTGCTTTGGGGCTGGATTCTGAGCACTGATTGAGGTAGGGCATGAGGACCTTGGAATCTAAGATGGGATAGGGCAGCCCTTATGAGGGATAATCAGTTTGGCCTCTGTCGCCAAGACCTGTGGTTGATCAACTGGCTTCTCTGTCTTCAGCCTCCCCCAACCCCTACTCCCTACCCTCAGCTCCAGCACCTGCAAGGTCACATTTCAGACTCTAAACTGAGGCCTTTGAGACCAAACCTGTCCCTCATGTATGCCAGACCCCCTGGAAAAAGGGTAAGTGGAGGCCCAGGGGCCATATGTCCAAACATAATCAAGTTATAAACCAAGTGAAGCACCTGTTCAATAAAATATATGCTAGCCTCCCATTTTGACAAATATATCTTCAAAACAACAACAAAAAAGGTGTATAAAGCTATAGCTTTTATATGATGGAAATTTATCCAAATTTCAAAGATGACTGGCTTAAATTATAATTAAAATCTAGGCATTCTGTTGATGAACCAGTGATAACAGGGCGAATTATAAAACAAAAGCACATCTAATTCATAAATGACTATGCATTTACACTATAATTTTAGTGTTTATGTTTTTGTTTCAGGAAAATCACTAGTTGTGTTATTATACAACCAAGATATTCACATCATGTGTTCTATTGATGGTAATGATCTGGATTAAAAAAACAAAATAATTAACAATAATATCTTTAAAAAAGGGATCATATTCAAAGGATTCAAAGTCTTAGCATATTTTATCATAAAGTGTAGCTCAAACTAAATGGAAACTATTTGAACATAAAATTTTCATTTTCAGAAAAGTATTTCAGAAAAGTAATATTTCTTTTACTATGATAAAATTAAGGGTAAAATACATATTTAATGAATATAAAAATGGTTCATCAAAGTTATTTCAATCAAGCTAAATAAAACTATTCCTACAATTGTAGTATGTAATAGCCACGCATTACCAGTGTAAAAAACCAGTATTATCCCTTATGCACATTGTGTCTAGACCACTGGTTCTCACCTGGGGTGGTTTTGTCCCCCAGAAGCGTTTGGAGATGTCTGGAGACATCTGTGGTTGATACAGCTTGCTATGGTATCCAGCCAGGAGGGGCCTGGGATGCTGCTAAATATTCTACAATGCACACAAAAAAGACTTCACCACTCTAAGATGTCAGTAGTGCTGAGGTTGAGAAACCCTGGTAACGCACACACACACACACACACACACACACAGAAGAGACTCATGAACTGTTGGATACTGCCAAATGTTCTTTCACTGCTATGTGCAGTTGTTGTGGATACTACGCTAATTATGGGTAACTCCAGAATCACGAATTGGAACATGAAGAGAAGCAAGAAAATGGACAGGCGACGCAGACTGCATTCTGCAAGAATCTGTGGCCCTCTTGCTAGGTGAGAGGAAGAATCTGACGTTTTGATTAATTGTCTTTTCTTTTACCTAAGCGCTTCTGCCTATCAGTTTCCCCCCCCCCCCCCCCCCCCCCCCCCCTTAGCTAATGCACATTCTGAAATAATGTCCATCTCCAACGTCAGAAACAACACAGCCCACAGATCTTGACGTTCGGACGCAGTCACCTTTTGTTTCAAGGTCGTAAGACAAGAGATGTGGAGAAGGGCTGTCCTGGGGCCTGAATGGTGTCATTCCAAGAGTGGGTGTTTAAGGTTACGGATCATGCTGTACCAGAGTCAGGCAGCAGATCCCGAGTGACAGAGGTGCCCATGTTTTCCTTCATAAATGTAGTTTCTGTGTGTTTGTGACATGGTGATGGGGGTGGGGGGGAGCTCCGAAGCCTGAGGCCCAGGGCAGGGGCCAGGAGCTGCCATGTCCCATTATCAACCTCGGGCTCGGAGCAGGAGCAGGGAGGAGCTGAGAGGCTGTTAACATCAGATCATCTGCAGTTTTCCAACTCTTTTGCAGAGCAGAACAGCATGCTGTTTAGCTGCCAAAATATTAGGACTGAAAGCAGCTGGCAAAAATGTTCATGGAGGAAGTGAGCCTGCTCGGAGAGGCCAAAGGAAAATTCTCCTCGACTGTGACCCCAGAAGGACCCCCGGGCCTCAGGACCTCTTTTGGAAGCTTCTGCTCAGTCAGCTTGGGGCTCCCTCAGACCCCAGGGCCCCGGGGGCTCCTTTGAAGAGGTATGTTCTGAGACCAGTGCTTTTTGCTGGTCCTTTCTGGGGCAGTGGGGCTGAGGAGACCCTTGTCATTGCTCAAAGAAATTCTCAGCCTCATACTGAACTTATTCTCAGCTTATGTTTTGTGAAACCGGAAAACAAAAAGAAGTAGACAGAAAAAGCTACCTCCATATATAACTCAGCTAATATTTCTAAAGAGACAGGCCCAACGGGGAACAAATGACAGCCGCCTGTGCAAGTGAGTATTGAGAAGACAGAGGGGACCCATGGCTTTACTGAGACTCATCCCTGCACCCGTTTACAAGTCTCTTTCCAAACGGCTATCACTTGGTCCTCACTGCGACCTCAGGACAGGTAGCCAGGCAGGTTTCTTTTCATTTTACAGGATATTGACTTTGAAAGATAGAGTCACTCACTCACTCAGGAAGGCACATCCAGGAGGCAGCAGAACCAAGAGTAAGACTTGGTCTTTTGGCTCTAAAATAGTGCTCTTTCCAGTGACATCGGTGTTTCAGTCTGTGGACCCTAGAAGTTTCCATTTTTATAAGGGGTTTGTGAATCCAAATGTATAGTAGTTTCCACCTGTAGCCTCAGCTGATAGATTTATAACCACCGTCATGTGAAGAGGGTCTAGACTCTATCGACACTGATACAGAGCTCTTATGGAAGAGTCTGGCAACCGACACATTACCCCCTGCTGTATCAAGTCTCCTGGCAGAGAGGTGACATTCTTTATCACTAGTGACACTGGGCACAAAAATTCCTACAAGTGGACAGAGCTAGGATTGAGACACAAATCTTGGCTTTATGTTTTGTGGTATGCAAGGGACTCGTGATTCAGATAGAGAACACTGCCCAGAGGACGTGGGAGGTGCTCAAAAATTTTATCAACTGACCAAGTGACTAAATTGGAGACGAGGAGACGTCAAATGCCAAAGGGAAAAGCAGCCTCTGGGTGGCAAGTAGGGTGGGGAAATCAGCAAGGGAATCCCCTCACCCATGAGGGAAAAGGAATGGAAACAAACAGCAAAAGCAGTTAGCAGAGTGTTAAAAACTGGAAAGCTTTTGGAATAATGACATAACCGCGCAGTCTCATTAGACGTTCTAATGGGAACAGAAAAGAAATACTCGCCGCCAATTTCCTTTCTGTTCCTGTAATCAGTAGTACATTTTTAAAGTATCTAGTAGGGTGTTAAGTCCTTTTCAATCACTATGAGTTCATCCATTCATCAACAAATGTTCACTGCGTGGCTATTAATATGCCAGGCACTGATCTGGTGTTGGGGATATAACAGTAAACAAAACAGACAAGAGATTACCCTCATGGAGCTCACATTCTAGACAATGAAGAAATGAAAACGTAAACTACAATAGTATAGCAGGTGGTGACAAGGGCTATAGAGATGATGGCAGGGGAGAGACCTAGAAATTGGCAATTTTAAATACGATGATCAGGGACAGCCTCATTGAGAAAGTGATGCATGAACCAAAGCCTGAGGATATGAGGGAGCAAATCAAGCAGATATCTGAGGGAGGAACATGCCTGGTGTTCAGGAGCAACAAGGAAGCCATTGCAGGGGAACAGAGTGAGATAGAGAAGCAGGACGAGACTGGAGTCTGGGTTACACAGGACCGTACAGGCTATTGAAGGGTTAGGAGCTCTTACCCTGAGTAACACGGGAAGAGGTGATGTGATCTGACCTGCATTTTAGCAGGTTTCTCTGGCTACTGTGCTGAGAATAAAAGTAGGGAATCAAGGGTGGGACTAAGGACATCAGTTAGAAGGTTCTGGAAAAAGTCAAGAAGAGAGATGATGGTCGTCTGGACCAAGGTGGTAGCAGTGGAGGTGGTGACAAGTGACTGGACTCTGGATGTTTTATGAAGGTGGGAAAGGCAAGATTTACTAATAAATTAGATGCAGAGTGGGAGGGAAAGATTTATCAAGGGTGATGCCAGGGTTTTGAACCTGAACAATGACAAGAATACAGTTGCCATTTAACTAACGCGAGGAAAGCAGTGGAGGGAGCATGGGTTTGGAGGAGAAAATCAGAAGTTTGGTTTTGATTGTGTTGAGTTTGAGATATATTTGTGTGTGTGTGTGTGTGTGTGTGTGTGTGTGTGTATCTCTCAAAGGAAAGGTTCAAATTTGAAGTATGAATTTGGAAGCCATATCACAAAAAGAGTACTGAGAACGTTTACCAAGAGAGTATTGGAGAGGAAAAGGGGTCAGAGAACTGAAGCCTGGAGATTTGAGCAGGTTGTAATCAACCAAAGGCTGGGAATGGGTGGCCAGTGAAGTAGGAGGAAACCAGGGAAGCGTAGACCACCAGGAATCAAGCGAAGAAACGGTTTCAAGAAGCGTTGCTATCTCACCTGGGGCAAGGGCTGGGAGACATTAGGCAAGATGAGCATTGAGAATTAATTGCCCATTAAACTTAGTAACATGGAAGTCAACACTGAACTGGACAAGAACAGTTTCTGTGAGGCAAATGACAGCTTGACTATTGAGGGTTAAGAGAAAACAGGAAGAAATGTAACCGGTGAATATAGACAACTCTTTTTAGGAGCTGGATGCCAAAGAGGGTGGAGAAAGGAGAGCGTGTGGCTTGAGGGGGCCGTCAGTCAAGAGACGCTTCTTTTTGTTTTTTGTTAATTTTTCTGGTTTTGTTGTATTTATTGGGGTGGGGGAGGGTGAGAGAGAAAGAGAGAGAAAAGAGAGAGAGAATCCCAAGCAGAGATTCAGTGCAGAGCCGAATGTAGGACTCCAACTCATGAACCCTAAGATCATGACTTGAGCTGAAATCAACAGTTGGATGCTTAACCTACAGAGCCACCCAGGTGCCCCCCCCCCACCAGGAAGCCAGGTCATGGGCTGAAGGGCAGGAGGGAGGAGCGGTGCTGGAGGTATTTGAAGAGATCTTCCTCCCAAGTCTGTCGTGGGGATTACCTGGCCCATAGGAGAGGCTCATAAACTGAAAGGAATTCCTGTGTCTTTGTGATTGTTGTTCAGAGCAATTTTTTTGAACATTACATATATTGTTTTTATTATTGTAGTAATATTTCATGTTCGATATAGCAACTTATGGAAAAGGCAGAAAAGTATAAAGAAAAAAGTCATGATAATTATTCTCCAAAGAAAATAGCTATTAACGGTCGGATGTGCATCCTTCCAGCCCCTTCTTCTATGAATATACATTATGGATATCCTGTTTTGTATGTTGCTTTCTTTGCTTCACATTGTATTTCACTGTTTTCTTATGTCCTTTGGTAATGCCCCCAAGTATGATTTTTTTTAAATTTTTTAATGTTTATTCATTTTTTGATAGAGACAGACATGAGTGGGGGAGGGGCAGAGAGAGAGGGAGACACAGAATCTGAAGCAGGCTCCAGGCTCTGAACTGACAGCACAGAGCCCGACGCGGGGCTCAAACTCACGGACCGTGAGGTCATGACCTGAGCCGAAGTTGGATGCTTAACCGATTGAGCCACCCAGGTGCCCCCAAATATGATTTTTAATGGCTATGAATTCCATAAATGGCCGCAATCATTCCATGAGGTGGCTGTTCTACCATTTACCTTGAAATTTCCCTATTTTGGACATTAAAGTTAATACCAGTGTTTCACATGTGTAATTAATGCTGTAATGGACATCCTCGCAGAGAAATCTTTATGCTCTGGTGAATTCTTTACACTAATCTCTTAGAAATGGAATTAGTAAGTCAAAGGGTAGGAACAGTTTAAAAACTCTTGATAGATATTGCCAAGCAGCCTTCCAGAAAGGTTACACTAATTTTCATTTCTTCCAGCAGCATAGGAGAATGCCCTGACATGATCCTTTTAAAAACCTTTGCAGGTCAGTATCGATTTATTGGTTTAATTTGTACTTTCTTGATGACTTGTGAAGTCCAACTTCTTTTCATTTATTTACTTCATTTGCATTTCTTTGGAATGCCTCTTTACAGGGGAGTTTGGCTTGAGGAAAAGCTTCTCAGTGGAAATACTGTTGAAGCTGCCGAGAGTTATCTGGGCTGATCCCTTTCCATGATGCTTCTCTGGACGACAGGGACCCTCAGCTCCAGGAAGCTAGCGTGCAGCCGTGACCCAGCCAGCTATCATTGCTCTGTCCTGGTTCTCGGGGAAGGCCCCTCCAGCCCCTTCCTGCCCCTAGATGGCACCTCCACAAAGAGCGAATTTCCTCCCATCCGTGACCTGGCAAACAGGAGCCATCACAGGAGTGAAGATACATCAACGGAGGGCGGCAGGCACTTGTTTCATCTCCCTGTTGGTGTAGTGCCTGAGACTTGACTTGTTTTAAAATTAAATATTTTAAAACATTTAAAAAAAATTTTTTTAATGTTTATTTATTTTTGAGACAGAGAGAGACAGAGCATGAACGGGGGAGAGGCAGAGAGAGAGGGAGACACAGAATCGGAAGCAGGCTTCAGGCTCTGAGTCATCAGCCCAGAGCCCGACGCGGGGCTCGAACTCACGGACTGCGAGATCATGACCTGAGCTGAAGTCGGACGCTTAACCGACTGAGCCACCCGGGCACCCCAATATTTTAAAACATTTAATTTTAAAATATTTAATTTTAAAACAAACCAAAGGAAACTGAAACCGCCGCATTGTTAGCATTGGTTTTTAAAAAGTTCTCCTGGGCCACCTGGGTGGCTGAGTTGGTTGAGCGTCCAACTCTAAATTTTGGCTTGGGTCCTGATCCCAGAGTTATGGGATCAAGCCCCGTATCAGACTCTGTGCTGAGCATGGAGTCTGCTTAAAAGTCTCTCTCCCGGGGTGCCTGGGTGGCTCAGTCAGTTGAGCATCCGACTCTTGATTTCGGCTCAGGTCATGATCTCATGGTTTGTGGGTTCAAGCCCCACGTGGGGTTATTCGCTGTCAATACAAAGCCTGCTTGGGATTCTCTGTCTCCCTGTCCCTCTGCCCCTACCTCTGCTCGTGCTGTCCCTCTCTCAAAATAAATCAATAAACATTAAAAAAAAAAAAAGATTCTCTCTCTTTCTCCTTTTGCCCCTCTTCCCCACTCGTGCTCTGTCTCTAAAAAAAAAAAAAAAAAAAATTAGTGAGTGAGTTATTTGTGAGGCAGTAGCTTTAGTCCAGAGCAAGCCTTGGACTGAGACCTTCTCCCTGCCTGCTCATTACTATGGCTCATGGGACTTGCAATCTGGAATAAATCGAGTCTCAGGCAGATGGTCAGGCCAAGACAAAAGAACCTTGAAGCATCTATCCTTCTAATTTCCCTCCACTTTCCTCATTTAAAGATTAAGAATTTTTTTTTTTTTAAACAAAGTCTCAGTGGTATGGAGGAGCTACAACCATACAGCTCTCCTAATTAGAAAGAGCAAATCTAATCAACTTTGATGATCAGCTTTGCGGATTATGTGGGATAAAATTTTCATGCCACAGCAGCCCCTTATTTCTGTCCCCCCCCCCCCGCCCCCTTCAGAGTCATTGCCTCTTCCACTCAGAGTATTCTCAGAGACCAGGGGCTATTTTTAATACTTGCCATGTGAAAACATCATTCAGAAGCAAATCTGCTATAAACTATCCCAGTTAGGTGGTCCGGAGCCAAATCTCAATGACTTCCTGCACAGTCAGGGTTACCACCCCTGTCCTTTCCATCAGTTTGGATGATTGCAAGTTATTCCCTTCTGACTAGAGGTGAACATTTCCACTGAAAATTTCCCAACTTGCAGTAGAGGTAGTAGATCATAGTGGTTGAGACCTTGGGCTCTGGGTTCAAGTACAAGACTATTTGAATCCCAACCACACTGGACCTAGACCTTGAGCCTCAGTTCACAAGTCTCAAGGATAATGCAGGATTTACTTCTTGGGGTGGGTGGGGAGGATTGTGTGAGCTGTTGGTTGCACCGTGCCTGACACTTAGCCTGGTGCATTTCTTTCCCAAGTACATGCTATTATTATGAACGTGCTCTGAGTTTCTGCAGCTAAAATATCTAATAGATGGGCACATCACAACAGAGCTTTACTTGCCCTCATAATGCCCTGCAACAGGAGATAAGGAAGGGAGAGTTTAGCTGCACATTTTCCAAAAGATGGACTGTCATGTGTTAGCTGCAGTGAGAGACCAGGGGGGTGTAGCCGGTGTTTTATCCTACCTGTTCCCGGTGTCAGTGGTGTGGGGTCACCATAGTGAGTGGCCAGGTGTTAACCGTGTCCCTGCCCTTGCCATAGTCCCCCTAATGAGAGCCTCCTTGAGTTTGCTCACCCCTTTGGAAAGAGGTCTCCCTTCTCTTTTGTACTAAGTTGGCAAGTCATTATTATAGTAATAATACCTGTTATTACCAGTCAATCTCTCTTTCGATACTAAATTATTATTATGTACTTGGCCAAAAAGGTCTGTGCTATTGTAATTTGTAAAGCCCAGACTAAGCAGGACAATAAAACTTGAATAACGACATCTTGCATTTATTTCCATGGTGTGTTTATTTTTCTAGTACGTAGTGTGTCAGCAGGCTGCTCCCTGGCCTCCCTTGGCCAAGGAATCCTGGCGTTTGCCTTTTATACTGTTCAGAACCCCAAGTTTCCGGGCCACACGTCCCTTTGGAAATCTCCAGGCAGTGCATCTTCGGGCCGTGGCGATAGCTGCATCAGGCAGGGCCGGACCTGGTGGGTGGCTGTTTTTCTGCAAACATGTGCTCCTGACCTCGAAGAGGCAGCGTCTTTATTATGGCCATTTATTATTTACAAAGCACTGCAGGTATACACAGCATTTTATGAGACACAAAGACAAGGTCCTGCCCTGTGCACTGAGAGGTTTTATCCAGCACTTCATCTGTCTGAGCTGAGCTGTGGGGACGCAAGGCAAGCAGGGCTGAAGGGCTGAGAGCTGCGTCTGGGATGTCAGGGTGGAAGGAAGGACTTCTGATGAGGAATTTTAAATGCGGGACGTCAGGTGTGTGATACTTGAAGTGTCACTCTGGGGTCCAGGGGAGGTTTTGTCATGACCTGTGTTGCAACACCACGAAGAGAAATTCTGTCCGTGTGCCTGGGAACAGTTTGTGGGTGGGGGGAAGAACCGAAAGACTCCGAAGAGACAAAGGCCTTGTCGGTCCCAACAATGTGTTATACCAGCCTGTACCTCCCCGCCCCAACTTTCCAGCAAGTTGTCTTGTTTTCTTCTGTTTTGGGGAGTGATCACTGCAGGCAGGAGGATTAGTCAGCCTTTAACAAAATGTATTGTTCTTAATTCACTGTGTAGCTTTAAGGAGATTCAATTTCCTCCTCAAGAAGGGTGGGTTTCTGGGTATTTGGACCCCTAATCTTCAGCCATCTGTCCATTACTTTTCTTCAGTCTGCATCTGTCTGTCAGGGCAGCCCCAGTGGCATCTCCCAGTCTGTGTGGGTTACCATCACCTGCCTGTGTCGTCCTTCTGTCTGACTAAGCAGACAGATACTCATTGAGTGCTCCCAGGAACAGATGCTGGGGTGAAGAGCTGAACAAGGCCTCGTCCCTGCCCCCCAGAAGCCATGGACCATCAGGACCGAGATGTGAAAAAGCAGTGAGGTTGGGACCAAAGCTGCCTCTCCTTCGGGAGGAGACAGAGGCTTGGCCACACGAACACAGTCACTCATCTGGAGATGTTCCTGGGCTCCTACCCTCTAAAGCAAGGGCTCACATTCGAAGAAGGTGCAGAAATACAGACTTGCTCTGGGCTCGGGACAAACCGATCACGTCCTTGGCATGGGATTCTTCCTGCTCAGAGCTCAGGGCTTAGTCTAATACCAGGCAAGTTTTGCAGCCAGAAACAGATATAAATTTGGCTGAGTAGCACTAGTGAAAGCAAAATAGATTCTGTAATGTACCGACTATGCACCAGATGGCTCTGCTTCCTACCAGCCCTGTAAGGCTGGTTAACAAAGCCTACTGCCCTCCATTATTGCCATCATCATCATCATCACCACCGGCTTCACCAAATCCGATTAAAAGCCCTGTGGTACATGGCACTCTACAGAGCCCTCTGAGTCTGGATGTTTAGTTGAGAATATTTCCTGCCTTCCCTCCCTCCAACCCCTCCCTCCGCCTCCACATCCCAGTGTGTCTGTGGTCTGGGTTATCATTTCCTCCACAATCCTCCCTCCCCATTCCCCGTCACTCACTCTGCCACTGCCTGGATTCAAGTTAGCATCCCTCCTTCATATTCCCTTCCACTTTCCCAGCCGATGTCAGAGTATGGACCTCCTGCATAAGAATCGTCTGGGGAGTGTGTTAACAGCGCAGGTTTCGGGGCACCTGGGTGGCTCAGTCGGTTAAGCGTCCGACTTCAGCTCAGGTCACGATCTCACGGTCCGTGAGTTCGAGCCCCGCGTCGGGCTCTGGGCTGATGACTCAGAGCCTGGAGCCTGCTTCCGATTCTGTGTCTCCCTCTCTCTCTGCCCCTCCCCCATTCATGCTCTGTCTCTCTCTGTCTCAAAAATAAATAAACGTTAAAAAAAAATTAAAAAAAAAAGTGCAGGTTTCTGGGAGCCCCTCTGCCCCTTCCAATTAATTCAGAGTGTCTGATGGTGGCCTATGGGCATTTGCATTGTAACAAGCTCCTTAGGTGATTCTGAGTTTGAGAATGCTGCCTTACACTTTCTCCTTTCAGCAAAAGCCAGATACTTAGCCTATCAGCTTCCTAGCTTAGAGGGGCACATACCAGAAGCCAGCTGTGGAAGGGACACCAACAGCCATATGCCAGAGCCAGCCTGTACCTGATGTCAAAAACAACATTTCCAGGAAATTTGAAAGCTGATTGTTAAACCATAGGTTGAAATCGACCATGGGGCAAGTATTTACATCACAGAAATCACCAAGCACTTGTGTGTGTGTTTGTGTGTGTGTTTGGAGAATCAGGTCACCAGCACACCCCTGGACACCAAGTGTCAACCCAGCACTGTGATTTGCACATAAGGGCACCAAGGAGCAGAGAGGAAAGGGACCCATCCAAGGTCTTTGCAGTAAATAAGGTGGAATCACAGCTAGAATCGGAGTGTCCTGTGCCCTGTTCTGGTTTGCATGAGAGCCCTATTCCTTTTTCGTAATGACTTTGCCTCTGTGGGGAGAGTGGTTTGTAAGGATTCTTACATAGAGTTCCCATGAGTGTTTATCACTCTGTGAGTTGGTTGGGGTTCTTCGATTACAAGCCGCAGATTCTAGCTGTCCTAAGCAGAAGAGAAATTCGATTGAAGAGTCTCATTGAGTTCACAGAACTGGAAAGCAGGCTGGCAGAAGGACTCAGCAAGGGCAGCTGAGGACTCCACGCATCAGGGACTGATGGACCGTCTCCTGAGGGAGATGTTGCTGGATTGAAT